TCCACATAGTAGAATTTTAAGTGTGTTATTTTCATGATTTTGTTAACCTTGACTTTCTTCTTCCTAACATCCTTGAATTTTGAACCAGGTGCTGCAATCGCTGGAGTTTACCGCGCAGCAGGGAAGCAGATGATCCCGTTTGAAGCCCTCACTTTGGGCACGGGACAGACGTTCTGTGTGGTGGTGGTCTCCTTCTTGCGGATTTTAGCGACTTTATAGCATACACGTCTGTGCTGTGGAATGGAACCTACATTTATAGAACCCTCGAAAAGAAGATATTGTAGGACATAGTGTTTTCTTATTCTTCAAATGGAAGCTGCCTGGAAGAAGAGGAGTGTGACCATCTCAGCCCCTTCTCCAGTTTGAAGCTCCCGGCCTTGGAGATCTCTGCAGACTCCAGTCCCTCTCAGCCGCAACCGAACAAGTTTCTGTGGCTTTCTCTTCTGCAGATCTTTCATGTCAGAAGTCTCCACACACACCTTTGACCAAGCCAAGCTGATGCCCCGCTGCACTGGAATTTGCCATACTTTGTGAGAAAACGTAATGTCTCATATTTCAGAAACTGCAGAGAATATTGGTTGATTTCAAGTGAGCAAAGTGTACTGTACTACAACTCTAGTTAATCTGATCTTGATTAAAATTCGGCAGATTCTCCTTTGGCTACATCCTGATGACAGCACAACCAACTAAGAAAACCAGGCAGGTTTTGGTTGAGTGTAGCTTTGAGAGCAGATTTGGTGAAATAGACAAGGAGAAAGAAGTGAAATAGAATTCAAGTAGGGCCTTGCGGCCACTGCTAAAAAAAAAGTAGGTAACTACTAAGAACAGGACATCTTACGGTAACTGTCTTCACCTCTGATTATTCAATAGATTATTAAGAGACATGAATTTGTCGTTTTGTTATTTTTTTTAAAATTTGTTGTTTTGTACATTTGATCAAAATAAACTAGCTGAGCCTTTCTTTCCCTTTTTTCTTTTTTTTAAGGGATAGGGTCTTATTATGTTGCCAGTGTGACCCCAGCTCCTGGGCTCAAGTCATCCTTTTTGCCTCAGCCTCCTAAGTAGCACACAACATCACCCATGGTTGAATGTTTAAAGTTATTGTTAAAGAATTTCCATGTGAGGTTGGGGATGTAGCTCAGTGGTAGAACGCTTGCTTAGCATGCTTAAGGCCCAAGCACCACAAAAATAAAAAGAATTTCCACACCATCTTTTGCTATTATTTTAAATTCTATTTATTTGGCTTCGTTAGAAATGTACATACCCTGTTTGGTAGTTTGATTTGGAATTTGTAAGCTACATTGATTAGGATACTCTGGATATTGAACACAAATAAGAGACTTCAAGTGTTCTGTTAATGGTTTTTCTTAGTAACTATTTTTTTAGCTGGCTCCTGAGAAATTGTAGAAGTGCAGCTGAAACTGGAGTTAGTGGCCGTTGGTTTCTCGGTGCGTTTATCTCGCGGTAGTTCAGCACACTTTTGCAGTATTTGAGCGTCAACTTCCAGAAAGTGCCTAAAACTTCATTTTCAGCGATGGCCCTACTCTGCCCTTTACATTTTTATTCAAGAGAATTTATATCGTTAAAGAGAGTTAAATATGAATGGTTTTTTAAAACTCAGTTTTTATCTATTTTAATTCTTGTCCTGCTGCTTAACTCTCTTTTTCATTGGAAGGCCTGAAAACTGTGACCTTCAACGGGGAAAAGATTGCAAAAATGAAGTAACGATGTTTGCCACCTAAACTTTTGCATGTAGAATACAATCAATGTTGTTGCTGTCTGTTAATTAACTCTAGTAATTAGCTTCTGGTGAGTAATGTTTTTAAAGAAGTTTTTCATTATGAGATGAATAAGGTTGTATATATATATGAATATATTCCACTTATCCAATATGCATTCTGGATTCTAATGAAAAGTAGCCAGGAAAACCAATTTGCCAGGGAAAGTTGCCAAGAAAATTATAGAGAAATAAATATAGAGAAAAATTACAAAGAGATCAGCAAAATTAATTGGACATTTCCCCCTAACAGTTGGTCCACTGATCATAATTACACTGATATCTGACTAGGTACAAAATTATAAGTGCAGCTAAATGTCCTTTTACATTCCCCAAGAGGCTGTCTTTCTTCCAACAAAAAAATGAAAGATTCTAGTTCTCAGCTGAAAGAGCTGTGATTGCAGAAAGTATACTCCTTCAGTTTAAGATGTAGAGTATTACATCTTTTATTATGGGAAATGATTTTGATCTCCTCACCTAAAACATTATTTTGGATATTATCTCACAAGCCAAAGATGGGGCCGTAGTTGGTGGGTCCCACCTCCCTCAATGTTTTTGAATATGTTGATGATCCATGATAAAAATGTAAGGTTATTTTTTTTTTAGGTTATTTTTATTTTAAGCCAGGAGACAGAAATTTACGAATTTTTGAAGGTTGAAAAAGTTTATGCATTTTGTTTCTGTCTGTCTGGTGTTTGATACATTTTGGCTATCTACTCTTATTAAAACTTCAAATATAGGGCCGGGATATGGCTCAGTGGCATAAGTGCCTGCCTGGCAAGCACAAAGTCCTGAGTTCGATTCCTGGCACCAAAAAAAAAAACTTCAAATATAAAATGTACCTTTGAGTTATTGAACGTTTCATCCATCCCAGTCTGTGAAGTATCCTCTTGTGAATAAATGTGTATGGACTCTGTGGGTTGAGCTGTGTAGCTTGAATGTTTTCAGGGAGAAAGTTGGAATGATAACCAGAGGATGTGTTCTGCTTTGGTTTTCTGCCTCTTCTCTCTTTGCCCCTGCTCTTTACTTGCTTGTTTTCTTCCTTTCTTTGTCTCAAATACTGAGTTATTTGTAGGTGGTTGGTCAGATGGGGGAGTAATAGCACTTGGGTTTAACATTTTATCTTACAGTTTTTTTGAGATTTTTTTAAAAGAGACATGCAACTACCACGCCTGCCTATGGTTCTTCCACCTGCCCTTTCCCTTCCCCTGCCCGCTTCCCTCTCTGCCTCCCTCCCTTCTTCACACAGGGACAGGAGGCAGCCTCCAACCATGAAAGCTGATTTCTTGATTCTCTCGTAGGATTTGGGGGTAAAAGCATTTTGTGAAAACTTCATTTCAGATACAGCAGCATAATGCATAGTACATGAGAAAGATGTCTCTCTCTGTGCTATTGTTTTTTTGCAGCAAGAAACATGAAATGTTTAAAGCAGTGAGGAAACAGTTCGTGCAAGTAATTAACTTTAAATCCTCCATGCTGTCTGTTAAGTTTTTAAAATGCCCTTCGTGGCTGTGCTTACTGCTCTGATTCGAGTCATATTCTCGGTCCCCGGCAGCACTGCCACCACCCCCGGGGCCACCTCCCGAGTGTGAAGCCTGGCGAGCTCAGCTGTGCACGTGCAGAAAGTCTTCCTAGGAATTTGCATTTCTTTTTCATGCACTCTGTAAGGCTGGTTGTGACCAAAATCAGCTGTTTTTGTATTACGTTATTTTGCTAACTGCTGCAGTCAAAATGATCAAATCTTTGTACAATAGAAAAGTATTTAAATTTTATTTTTCTACTGACATTTCTAATTCTATTGTAAATGTTTAACAATAAAGAATTACTTAAAACTGTGAGTTGGACTTGCGTTTCTTTTTCAGTGGCCAATAAGGTTTAATCTTTTGTAATAAAGCTTTTTAAATAACTACGTAATCTGTATGTTTAGCTGTATTTCTTTTTGGGTGGGGCGGTCTTTTTGAGGCAGAGTCTCACTATGCAGTTCAGGCTGGCTTTGAGCTCACTTTGTAGCACAGGCTGGCCTCGAATTTGCAACGATCCTCCTGCCTCAGCCACCCAAGTGCCGAGATTACAGGTGCACACCACCACGCCGGGCTTATATTTCTTTAATGTTCAACTTTTTGCTGATATATAGGAAAATTGTTGTTCAAATGATGTAAATTATACTTTTGTTGTTTTTTGTTTTTATTTTTTGAGATAGGCTCTTGCCGTGTAGCCCAGGCTTGCCTTGAACTCACTTTGTAGTTCAGGCTGGTCTTGAACTCACTATGTAGCCCAGAGTGGCTTCAAATTTGCTGCGATCCTACTATGGTGAAATAAAAGGTTTGTGGCACTAGGCCCAGCTTCCAAAGAAGTGTTTTATGATTCTACATTGATGGCTGAATACTAATAATAGTGTGTAAAAATTTTTGTTATTTCAGTAGTAAGTCCACCTACGTGATCCCTTTGTACTCTGCCATTTTCAGCAAATTAGTTTAATTTGGGTAGTTTACCTCATGATAAAAAAATGGCTGCCACATGGCACATGCCTGTAATCCCAGCATTCGGGAGGCTGAGGCAGGAGGATTGTTGTGAGTTTGAGACCAGCTTGGGCTACAAAGTGAGCTCAGGGCCAGGCTGAACTGCATAGTGAGACCCTACCTCAAAAAGACTAAATAAATAAATAAATAAAAAGCTGCCATGGTTCCTGGTATTGCTTCATAGAGTGTTTGGCAGGGGACAACAGGCTGTTCATTTTTTTTTAAATTAAAGTCTAACACAGTAAAGCACACAAACATACAGCTTATTGTGTACATTTAGACACTACCACTCCTGTCAAGAAGTTTCTAGCATCCCCAGTAGGATGAAGAGCAGAGTACATAGAATTCAGCCAGAAGCCCCCAAGAGTGTACCCAAGACAGCATAGTAGGAACTTTCAGTTTCCATAAAGGGGAAAATCGAAGATCAGAAGTGGAAAGCAGGCCTGGGGATATAGCTCAACAGCACAGCGCCTGCCTGGCAAGCGCAAGGTCCTGAGTTCAATTCCCGGTACCCAAATGAAGAACAATGCAAAGCAGATGAGGAGCAGGAAGATCCCCTAAATAACAGCCAAGGCAGAGGTAGAGCCAGGACTCTTACAGGGAGTGGGTTAGTCCTGTCAGCCCGGGGAGCCCTGACTCAAGGGACCAATTGTTGTTTGGTCCCAGACTGTTTCTGTTTTGTGGAATTATGAGCTCAGTATTGCCAGATTTTTCAGTTTTTAAAAGAGAAGATGAAAATCTAGAGTATTTTGACCTGCTCACTTTTATTGATTGATTTAGATGGGTGGGATTGACCACAGGGCCTCTTAACCTCTATGCACCCACTCTACCACAAAGCTATACGCTAGCCTATAACTAGTTTACATTCATATAAAAAAAAAATCTTCATGGCAAACTATGTTTTTAAATTGGATTTGGCCTGCTACTTTTTTTTTTTTTCTTAATCTCTTATCTGACACAACACAAAATAGCTCCTACCCTGGTAACCAAGGTGCTCAGAGCTTGTGTTTGTGCTTGAGCCGCTTGGAGGGCCGGGAGGAAGGGGTCCGCAGGTGCCGGAGGGAGAGGCTGCCGGAGGAGGTCAGCAAGCCCTTGTCCTCAGGTTCTTCCCCTCAACAAGGCTGGGCTGGGAGAAAAATGAGCCCCAGAAAAGTAAACTAGCAAACACTGCGCCCAGGTTTTGTATCTATTTTTCTGTTTCCTCTCCCATAAGGCAAGTCTGCTTAAATGGATCATAGACCAAAATGTAAGAACTAAAACTATAAAACACAAGAAAAGCCATTATTTTGGCTTAGGCAAAGTATTCTAAAACATAACCCCCCAAAGCACAAGAGACAAAAATAGATAAATTAGACTTCAAAATTAAACATGCTTGAAAGGACACCATTGAAGTGCAAAAACACCTCACAAAATAGAAAGTATCTTGAAGTTATAGATATTATAAGGAACTGCTACATGGAATATGCAAAATACTTCTACAAAAATAAAAAGACAACCCAATGTAAAGAACATACAGTGGCTTAATAAGGACAGATAACATGTTTAGTCATCAGAGAAAAGCAAATCAAAACTATGAGATGGCATGGTGGTGCACACCTCTGATGCCCCAACACTGGGAGGCTGAGGCAGGAAGATGGCAAATTTGAGCCCAGTATGAGCAATTTAATAATAGCAAAACACTGTCTCAAAATTTAAAAAAAAAAAAAGACTGACAGTGTAGCTCAGTGCCTAAAGGCACTGAGTTGAATGCATAGTACTGCGACAAACAAAACTATAATAAGAAGCCTGGTATGGTAGTGCATGCCTATAATTCCAGCTACTTGGTAGAAGAACTGAGAGGCTAGTAAGACCCTATTTCATAAGAACAAACAAATCTGCAATGAATGAGATGGCACTTCACACCTTGTATTCAAAATAACAGGTCTGGCAGGGCCTGGCACAGTGGTGCACGCCTGTAATTCCAGCACTCAGAAGGATGAAGAAGGAAGATTGTTGCAAGTTGAGGCCAACCTGGGCTACATAGTGTGTTCAAGGCCAGCGTGAACTACATAGGGAGACCCTGTCTCAAAAAACAAAACAAAACAAAACAATAAAAAAAGACCCAGTCTGGCAAGAGTGTAGAGAAACAGGGACCCTCACAGGCCCTCCTAAACTACTGGTGAGATCATAAAATGGTGCAGCCACTTGAGAAAACAGTTCAGCACTTCCTCAAAAGGTAATTACTATACAGTTAAATAATTCCACTTCTAGGGTGCTCCATCTCTAAGAGAAATGGGGCTCTAAATGGAAATTGAGAATAACATGCTTAGTGAAAGAAGCCACTCACAAAAGACTGTCTATTCACATACTGCATGATTCCATTTACACAAAATATTCAAAATAGGCAAATTTATAGATGCTGGTGATCAGGCAGGATGGGGAATGACTGCTGATGAGAAAGGAGTTTTGGGGGTGATGAAAACTTCCTAAAATCGATTTGGTGATGATTGTACATGCCTTTGAATATAGAAAACTACTGCATTGTGTATTTTAGGTGAGTAGATTTTATGATGTGTGAATTGTATGTCCATATGGCTGTTTTAATTTTTTTTTTTTTTTTGCTGGTATAGAGCAATTACAGATATGACTCCTCTGTTCCTGATTTAGATAACTCTAGGACTGAGTGACCCAAATCCACTCTAGTCCAGCATATCAGAGCCAGGGCTGTAGCTCAGTGGCACAGCGCCTGCCTGGCAAGTGTAAGGTCATGAGTTTGATTCCCGATTCCCCCCAACCCCCAAAAAAACCCCACACAATGTTGATGAGCAGAAACTTTTGGCAAAAACCCCTCACATCTTCTATAACATGAAAAAAATACTGTAACATAGTAGTGGTTGATGTCTCATCTGCATTTGCTTCTTATTGTTTCTTGTAATTGGATTATAATTATAATGCTTTCATCTGAAAAAATGGTAGAGATGATATATTCCTGTACTATCATATGCATTAACTTGAGGAAAGATTCATGCACATGATATTTGCTTTCCAGAAGATAGTTTATGCTAGATTTTCTTTTGTTTTTTGAAACAGGATCTCACTGTGTAGTTCAGGCTGGCCTTGAACTCCTGTCTCAGTTCAGTGCTGGGATTACAGGTGTGATTCTAGTTATTCATGGCAATTATGATTATAAAGTTGTCTCTACCACTAAATTAGCAAATACTGAACCACTGCTTCTGGGCGAGGTGCCTGTGAGCCTCTGGTCACAACACTTTTGCCAGTTGATGCATATATAAACTGGTTTTATGTGTGTTTCCTTTCAAAGACACTTTATTATAGCTGGGGGTCATGGTACATGCCTGTAATCCCAGCACATAGGAGGCTGAGAGAGGAGGATCGAAGTGATTTCAAGGTCAGTTTGGGCTACATAGTTTAAGGCCTGCCTGAACTACATAGTGAGACCATCTCAAAAACAAAACAAAAGAGAAACACCTTATTATATATATATATATATATATATCACAAATAATTGCATGATTACATGTAGTATTTTTAATGAAACAAAAATTTAGTTATGGCATGTTGGCAATGTACTTTTTTGTTTGTTTGTTTCTTTATTTTGAGACAGGGTCTCACTATGCAGTTAAAACTGGCCTTGAGCTCACTTTGTAGCCTAGGCTGGTCTTGAACTCACAACGATCCTCCTGCCTCAGCCTCCCGGGCAATATACTTTTCTGTACTGAAATTTCATCACTTTTCCCTGTGATCATAGTCATACACACGCTGCCCGCATAGATCGCACAGTCAGTACAAAGTCTGACAATACTGTACAGTTCTCATGGTAAATATATACAGTACTGTGAACACATACTGTGTAGCACGGTAATAAAAATCCAGTCCTTAAATGACAAGATTAAGCATTTAAGGTTTTATAAAAGCATCAAAAGCTCACTGTTGATGGAGCTGCAGGATGTGAGGCAGCGGGGCACAGTGTGATCAAACCATTTCTGGACACTTGTCCCCCTGAAAACCAAGGGCAAGGTGGGTGGACCTTATTATGCAGAAGAAGAGGGTGGTGTGTTGATATCTGGCAGTTCCACCTTGAAAGTTTGCTGGCTGCCACTTGTTGATTGGGAACAATCTGAGTTGACAAAGGGCATCAGCTTTGACTGCTTGGCTTTCCGCCTGTCTCTTTAAGCATCTCACTGTAAGGGGCAAAGGCAGTGGAGGTGAGGCGTTGGAATGTGAGGCTGTGATTAAGCAGCGGGTCATACCCCTCCATGTCATTAAGAATTTTCTCCAAGACAGAATTCCATTCCAATATTATGGCTGCAGTGAGAGCA